GAGCTAAGAAAATGCTTATCTCCCTGAGCTTGGCCTTCATAATTCCATTCCATCACAAAAGCTGAGCAAGAACAAGCTGCTTAACTTGATTTTTTTATGTAGCAAAATATTCTGATGTCTAAACTGTTCAAAAGAGTCATTCTGAACGGGTGGCCTACAAATATGATGGCTGAAATCTTGAAGAAGAAAAAAACGAGTGACAGAAGGAAAATAACTAATTTTTTACAAACTTATAGTCTCCCATTCCTTATTTCTTGGTGGGAGAATGGAATGGAGGAGGTGTAGAGTATGTTTCCTCAAGCTGCTGCCTTACACGGTGGTGAGAAATTAGAAGACACAGTGTCACTCCTCCTTTTAGAGGGTTAATGAATGAATGAGTTCTTCAATTTGTTCTGTGTCTGTCTGGATCTGCACGGGTTATAGCAGAACTCTGCTTTCCTCGCAGCACAGTAATGAGCAATTTCATAGGTCAGGATGCACAACTCTGAATTTTTCACAAGGAATTAAAAACGATCCAAATTCCATAGAAAGTTATTTGGAACTTGATTATTATGTGAGATTTTGTTTGATTAAGAGGGGAGTCAGAGATTGCTGGTGCTCAGCTGCCAATCTCCAAGTTTATACGAAGGAATGGGAAATGTTTATGGTACTTATTATTATTTAGTGTTACTTTATTAGACGTTACATTTTTAAATATATTTAAAAATTTGACTTGACAATGCAGTCAAGTTACGTCAATTACTAAATAAGATGATGTACGTAGAGATGACTACAAATTAGATTTAAGGAAAAAAATAGATCACGCTTTCTGCCGGTTTTCAAGAAGAAAACATCCCTAAGAAAAGTAGGTTTTTTATTATATTTTTATCCTTCCAGTTTTTTCAAGTTTACAGAGCAGTAATCCTCGCTTATTTTCCTAATAACTGGCCCGCATTTATCCAGAGAGGTTTAGTGTTTAGAGATTTAAATCTAACTTTTTCTGATCCTATTGTAAATATAGGAATACTTTTACTGACGATAACTCATGTTTTCGTATTTTTTGTGCGTGGGAACTGCTTGTTATTACATTTGGCTGCAATCTTAAAAAGAGATTCAGAATCACTTTCCTCTTGATAATGTGATTTTTTTTCCCAATGAAACCAGTAGAGGGGAGTAGAACACCTTCCTCTTAGGACCAGTACATTTCACTCCAACAATGTTAAACTCTTATGAGTTTCCATTTCTTCAGAAAATCATTCTCCCAGTCAAAATCCATGCTACTTAGATGTTCCTGTGTTATATTCGGCTTGACTTTGTCTTCCACTTTGTCGTTATTTTAAAAGTAAAATTATTTTAATAATCTACTGAGATAAAATATCTAACGATATGTCTGTCAAACATCAACCCCCCTTGCTTGTAGAATCCCTGTCTTGATTCTGATCTTCAGGAACAAGGGAAGCTTGTAAGCAGCACAGGAATAGTGATATATTTTTGTTTAATTCCCAGGATCTGGAATTTAGAAAAAACCCCTCTAGATTTGAAGGTTGAATCGTGGTTTGTTTTTTCTCCACAGTACCCCTTGAAAGAATCCTAATGAGTATCCAGAACCATCTCGGAATCTCATGGAAACCCGTTTCAATCTATTTCTATATTCATTTTAAGTCTATGATTAAATGTGAACCCTTATAGGTGGAATATCAGCTGCTCCATTACTTTTACAAAATTCTTTTTGGATTGTGGAGAGCTGGTATAATGTTTGATAATCTTTAGTTGATGTGATGTGGGATGGAGACATAAAAATCATAAAATTCTTAATTAGAGTGTCATCATTGTATATTACTATTTGTTTATTTTTATCTATCATTTGCCATTGAGGATGTTCTACCAAACTCAGCCACCAGGGGCAGTATGTCCTATGTTGAACACCTTCCCCATTTTTCCCACTGAGGATGTGGTACCCTATCAGCCACAGGAGACAATGTATAGTACCCATAGGATATATTACCCCCTAGTGACCGACTGGAATATTGCAGGATCAAGAGGACAGGGCAATGTAATGGAAGGTATAGCACATAACTGCCACTGGTGGATCACTTGCGTATTGCAAGCTCCACATTTAAAATAGGCAGTGTATTGAATCCATGGGACATATTGCCCTCCGGTGGCTTTCGTGGGTATTACAGGTATAAAGCAGACTATATGGAAAAGAATTTATCTTACAGGACATACTGCCTCCTGGTGGCTGAATGTGGTATTGCAGGCTGAAATAAGAAAATAGAGATATTTTTTTTTAATCTGCTTTCAGTCGTGACTGATTCTATGGAAACTGCCTGGACGAGTCCCTGCAGTTTTCCTGGCAAGTTTTTTTCGGAA